TGAAGAAGAAGAACACGAAGAAGATGAAGAAGAAGACGATAATAGTGATAAAGAAGTTACTGAAAACGAATGTGATGATGGGGTTGAAAAAGATGATAAAAATTGACGTCGAACTGATGGTGATGATAATAAAATGATAAAAAAAGCAGGTCAATGGATGAAAATTACAAATCAATCATTAACAAAGAATTAGAGTGAAATAAATTGACAATGAAAAAAGATGATGATGGTGATGCTAGTAGCAATCCCAGTGACGATGATGTTGAACTAGCGAGTGTGATGATAACGACGACGATGATGATAAGACTGAGAACATTTTTTGAATATGATGAATCGCTGATGATAAGAAAGGAAACACAGAGTTGAACATGTAGATGTAATTAGTCACTTTTTGATGATAACATTAGAGAAGAACTCCATAACGGTGATGATGATGGTGCTGGAAATTATTTCATATGAAATAACGAAATGAGATGATTTACAATCGTAAATAAGATGATGATGAAGATGATGAAGATGACGAAGACGAAGATGATGAAGATGACGAAGACGATGATGATGATGATGATGAGAGCAAGTCTGTGTTATAAAATGTATTTTTTTACGTAACATACGTTGGTTATTAAAAAAAGACACACACAAACACACACAAACACATGCACACGCACACACACACACACAAACACATGCACACGCACACACACACACACATGCACACGCACACACACACACACACACACACTTGCATATCTAATTCTTTTGATCATCAGCAGCCGACTTGTAAAAACGTTCTGTAAGTTCTACCGCTGAAAACCTTATCAAACGTTACGTAACGTAATGGTTACTCCTCTACAAACAAATGAAAAAGTTAACAAATACACTGGAGTGTGCGTGCATTTTGCGTTCATACACGTGCACACATGCATGCATACACATATCGCACATAATTATTACTCACATACACACTCATACAAACACACTTGCATTCACACACATGCCTACATACACTTACACACACTTACACACTCAACACACACACAAAGATATATATATATATATATATATATACATACATATGCATTCATACAAACATTTTGAAGCACATACATACATCCACACACAGAGAAACATGTATACGCAATCACACATACAGTGATTATTGTTTAATTGTATAGGATCAAATTGATTTACTGTGTTTCTATTTGAAGCGTATATATTGTGTTTTAGGTATACAAAAAATTATACATACAAACTCTTGAATTCATTCTAAACATGTACATGTTTAGAATGAAATCAAATTCAATCAAAAAGACAAGCAAAAATTCAATCAAAAAGACCAGCAAACAAGCAAACAAAAAAACTAACGAACGAACGAAAGAACATAAACAGACCAATGCACATATCTGAACCAACATTTCTGAATGCATATCAATCGACTGACCTTTTTAAACGCTGACAATCTAAAAAAAACTAAAAATCGGTCTTTTTGAATGATCATCTTAATCAATTAATTTCGTCATTGGACACGCTCTCGATATCCTATCATCAACATAAACAACCAAAAATCATCAATACAAATAACGAATACAGTAGCATAGACAGTGACACGTAAACAACAAGAAAGGACAACGACGACTTAAACTCGCTGGTAGGTCTTCAACTTATCACGTCAAAATCAGTCGCAAATGATCGTGACGCGCTACGTAACATAGCGTCATCGTGATAATAATTAAACATTACAGTCTCGTTCGTTTCTTTATTCATTAAAATATTTAAATATTTCTTTCGCCGTTTGCTTGTTCACACACCACACACACACCACGCACACACCACGCACACACACACACCACACACACACACACACACACACACACAGACACATACACCACATACAAATGCAGGATTACGGACAACCCCGATACAAAATATTACACAAGACGTCACCGGGAATAAAATAATTTTATTACCCGACAAAAAGGGAGACAACGACGCGATATACATAGTCAATAAATAAAATATTTCTCAATAATTACTACTGCAACTACTACTGCTAACACTAATACTACTGCTACTACTACTACTACTACCACTGCTCTACTGCTACTACTACCACTGCTCTACTGCTACTACTACCACTGCTCTACTGCTACTACTACCACTGCTCTACTGCTACTACTACCACCACTGCTACTACTACCACTAGTACTGCTGCTGCTACTACTACAACTACAACTACTACTATCAGTAGTAGTTGTAGTACTATTAGTAGTTGTTGTAGTAGATTTGTTATTAAGCTAAAGATTAATGAAACGGCGAAAGTTAAATGCGATCGTATCACAAAGACACAAATACAATAAAAATAAGAATACACACAACAACAATGATACCTGGACAGGCACGCAGACACACCGACAGAGACATAAACGCAAACGCAAACATTTAAATATTCTTTGATGAATGCCGCTGACCAATGAGAAGACGAAGCGGCATAGATGAAAGAAATGTTGAGAGGCGGTAGGTCTTTTGAGTTTT